AGCGAATGGAGGAAGAGGGAGGGGATGATGATGATGAGGAGAGGACACAGAAGGATGAGGAGGATAAGTGGAAGGTTATTTTTTTTTTGCATGTGTATTGTATAATTTATAATACATAGAATCAATGGAACCACAACACTTTTTCGACTGTAATGCAACACTTTTCCTACAAATACTTGTGTCGCTTATATAACCGACGGTAAAACTATAGTTAAATATGACATATTTTTGGATCTAGAGCGACAATTATGGCACGCCGGATACCAGTCGGTTACTTTAAACTGACACTAAATCCATCTGTTATTTTATTATTGACAAGTATTTTTGCTACATCAATTTTTTCATTGCTAAACCATATGTAAATATATTATATATGGTTTATCCACTATTACTAACGATATTTTACCATAGGTAATAAATTAAATTCTTATAGTGTAAGTATAAATGGCAAAAGTAGCGAGCGAACGATGTTGACAAAAAATGATTTCAGAAAGCCTCTCTTTGCACCTCACTTAGCAAGGGAGGATTTTAAAGTCCGAAGCAACAATGCTTTTAGTAAATGTTTTTGAAAATCATAGAGACCCCATGTTTTGGTTAGAAGCTACAAAAATTTTTCTCGAAAGGTTTCAAAACTTAAAAGTGGAAGGGGGGAAGTTATTGTCATTTGGCTTAGGGATAATAATGTGCCTTGAAGTGGGGCTTGCATTGAAAGAGGTGGTTTTGGTGCTAGGAACTTTAATTCAATGTTTTGAGTGGAAGAGGATTGAACCAGAAATGATGGACATGACACAAGGATCGGGCCAAACCACATGAATATACTTTCAAATTACCGCTGACCTCCGTTGACCACCGCCGACCGTCATCCACTGTCGTCAGCCGTCGTTGACCTCCGTCGTTCACCGCCGACCGTCATCAATTATCGTCAACTACCGTCGATCACCGCCGACCATCGTTAACCACCGCTGACTAGACGTCGTCAGTCGACGTTGTAACTTGGAAAGCTAGGAACCCTTTCCCGCCTGCGGGACAAGAGACATCTGTAATCATCAACTTATAGTAGATTTTTACAATTGGGCCAGACCTCGTGGTTTTTCCCCTTTACGGGTTTTCCACGTAAAGTGTATCAAGAACACCTTTGGCTGAGTGAGCATAATTAGCAGTGTTCCTCTTGAATGATAATTGATACGCCACCAACAAATTTTCATCATCCGACACGAATTCCGCCCCGAATTTTCTAGCACGCATATGTTACGATAAAAAAAACCAAAAAAAAAAAAAACAACAAAAAAATAAAGAAAAAAAAACACACAAAACCAAAACAAAACAACACACACACAAAAAAAACATAGAACACAAAAAAGCACAAAAAAAAAGCAAAAAACATAAAAACAAAAAAAACAAGTAAAAAAAAATAAAAATAAACCAAAAAATAAACTGAAAAACAAAAAATACAAAAATACCAAAATATAAAACAAAAAAAGGAATATAATTTAAAAATAGTAGAAATAATAAAAAAGTTAAAATTAAAAAGTTAAAAGATCAAAAGAAAAAGGAAAAAAAAAAACAAAATAATAAAAGAAAACACAAAAAACGTCCGTTAAAATATCTTGTAACGAAAAAGCCACACGAGGATGTCGCAACGATTCAAAAAGAAAGAAAAAGTAAAGTTTAGGAAAGAGCTCCTTGAAGTGAAGTTCTATGTCGTCCATTTCTTTGGCTCCACAATAAGGTTCATGATCCATCGACACCCCGACCATCCGAGGCTACCTTGCAAATGCACATAAAGAAATTTGTATGAGAATCCAATTTAAAGTAAAAATGACAAGATTTGTGAAATAGTATATACTGATAAACTTGTATGCCATTGAATATGAGATAAACATGCATATAGCATAATGTGGTACTCAATGGTATAATGCTTAGAGTAAGTTGAAAGGGACAAGTAACGACTCGAAAGTTAGTAATATCCAAATCATCTTTTTTGTAGAATCAAGTCTACATGCAAGGTGCATAAAGTTTTCTGATACTTTAGACGACTGAAGAATCATACTGAATGACCTTGAAGCACACCATGGCCTAAGGATAAGCAATATGTGACATTGTACGAGATGATTCAATATTGCACCAAGGTTATTTCATGTATAAATCAATATATGTTGAAATCCTGAAATGACCATATAGTTACTTGACTTAATCAAATCAACAAACATTCACATCTCAGTATCCTTCTAAGCACGACCTCTAGGAGGTTGTCGGTGGGAAGAAGTGTAGGGTCTATGGGGTGGGGTCTAGGTGCTGGCCTATGATGCCTGCCCATCCTCTAGCACATCCAGTGCAACCACTTCCACTTCACAGGAGTAGGAGATTTTCGTTAAGTTGCTGCTGAGTTTGCTGTCTAGGTAGCCAACCTGAGATCGAAGATGAGGATAGAGATCAAAGTGGTGTTGCATTCTGAACTGCATAAAGGGAAACAGTTAATGGATGAAGAGGGTGGGGATGATGATGATGAGGAGAGGACACAAAAGTATGAGGAGAATAAGTGGAGGGTTATTTTTTTTTTTGCATGTGTATTATACAATTTATAATTGATAGAATCAATGGAACCACAACACTTTTTCGACTGCAATGCAACACTTTTCCTACAAATACTTGTGTCGCTTATATAACCGACGGTAAAACTATAGTTAAATATGACATATTTTTGGATCTAGAGCGACAATTATGGCACGCCGGATACCAGTCGGTTACTTTAAACTGACACTAAATCCATCTGTTATTTTATTATTGACAAGTATTTTTGCTACATCAATTTTTTCATTGCTAAACCATATGTAAATATATTATATATGGTTTATCCACTATTACTAACGATATTTTACCATAGGTAATAAATTAAATTCTTATAGTGTAAGTATAAATGGCGAAAGTAGCGAGCGAACGATGTTGACAAAAAATGATTTCAGAAAGCCTCTCTTTGCACCTCACTTAGCAAGGGAGGATTTTAAAGTCCGAAGCAACAATGCTTTTAGTAAATGTTTTTGAAAATCATAGAGACCCCATATTTTGGTTAGAAGCTACAAAAATTTTTCTCGAAAGGTTTCAAAACGTAAAAGTGGAATGGGGGAAGTTAATGTCATTTGGCTTAGGGACAATAATGTGCCTTCAAGTGGGGCTTGCATTGAAAGTGGAATGGGGGAACTTTAATTCAATGTTTTGAGTGGAAGAGGATTGAACCAGAAATGATGGACATGACACAAGGATCGGGCCAAACCACATGAATATATTCTTTCAAAAATTATTTTACTTTATAACAATTATGTTCAAACCTAATTACTTTTGGGCCCCATTTTAAGAAAATTGCTTCATTTCACATAAAAAATAAATACTATTACTAATCTTTAAGTAATAAATTGCACCATTTTAAATAAAAATAAAATTAAAGATTATGACCACTAATTTCAGGCCCACCATATTTAGTATGCCGGCCAACCTTCTAGAATGTAGATCAACCTTGACGTTGAAATAGGTTTTTTTTTTCCGAATGAAAAAACAGAGGCTATATATTGCTCTGTTCTCTCCAAATCAATTCACTCCTCTTTTGCAAAATTACCCACAATTTTACATTTTGATCTTCTTCCTTTTCTTTTCTGAGATGGATGCAATTATCATGTTCACCTGCTTGGTTCTCTTGCTCTCCCTCCTGCTAACCAAACTCTTCATAGGCCAGAAGAACAAAAAGAAAAATTTCCCTCCAAGTCCTCCAAATTCCCTTCCCATTCTCGGGCACCTCCACCTCCTCAAGAAGCCCCTTCACCAATCTCTGGCCCGTCTCTCTGCCGAGCACGGCCCTCTCCTCCTCCTCCGCTTCGGAATCCGCCCTGTCCTCGTTGTCTCCTCTGCCTCCCTTGCCGAAGAGTGCTTCACGACCAACGATGTTGCCCTTGCCGACCGCCCTCGATTTTCTTCTGTTTCTGTCACTACGTACAACTACACCATTCTCCCTTTCGCTGCCTATGGACCCCACTGGCGAGAGATGCGCCGAATAGCCACAATTGAAGCGCTTTCGAGCCATCGCCTTGCCTGTTTTGCTGATGTTCGTGCTGAGGAGGTTCGGGCCCTTGCCCGACACTTTTATCATAACACGGGGAGGGTGGAGCTTAGGTCTTCCTTGTTTGGGCTGGCAGTGAACATCATAATGAGAACTATAGCAGGTTTGGAGTTTTAATTTGAAATTTTTAATGAACTTTGTAGATTACAATTGTGTCAATTTTCAGGAATAAGATATTACGGAGAGGATGATGAGAATGACAAAAAAGTATATAAGTTAAAGGAGGTGATAGAGAAAATCATCTCGCTTTCTGGCGTGACCAATGTGGGAGATTTTTTGCCGGCATCAATCGGGTGGATTGCATGTCGTGGAGTGAAGAGGAAAATGGCGAGGTATCACAAATACAGGGACGAGATCTTTCAGTCACTTATAGAAGAGCACAGGAGAAGTAGAAAAGAGGAGGCCGATAATAAAAATGGAAAATTGAGGGGCAAAAAGAAGATTGATAGAACCATGATTGATACTCTGCTCTCTTTACAAGAAAATCATCCAAAGCAATACACTGATGTTTTCATTAAAGCACTAGTTTTGGTGAGTTTCTCGTGAATTTTTCTCTTTTTCATTATATATTTTCCGTTAAATTAAAAAAATATTTATTGGTGGCTTGAGGGGCTTCATTTTCCTGCACTGAAAACAGACAAGTTGTTTTTAACACTGAATTTCATAAAGTTTAGAAAGACACTGAGAAGGGTGAAAAAGCAATGGTAAACTTCAAAATCTTTCCTTGCATACACCAACTCAAGATGTGAAACTACTAAATAAATGTATGACTTTAACTTTTGAACATATAATTTAATTTAATGATAGAAGGTTTAATATTTTTTTTTTGACAAATATATCAATATTCTCATAAATAAATAAAGGAATTTTGTATTTATTTATGAGAATTTTTAATTCATCATTTACTTGAATATTGACACAATCTTGTTTATTTTCTCTCTTTTTCTTAGAGCTTAGTATCTGCAGGCACAGATACTTCCTCAAATACAATTGAATGGTCAATGTCTCTTTTATTAAACAATCCTGAGAAATTTGAGAAGGCGAGACAAGAGATAGAAGAGCAAGTTGGACATGACCGTCTCCTTGATGAATTTGATCTTACCAAACTTCCATACCTTCACTGTATTATCAACGAAACACTAAGATTATACCCTGCTGGGCCTCTCCTTGTACCCCACGTAGCAAGAAATGATTTTAAAATCGGAAGCTACGATGTGGACCGAGGCACAATAATTTTAGTAAATGTTTATGAAATTCATAGAGACCCCACATTTTGGATGGAACCTAATAACTTTTTCCCGGAAAGGTTTCAAAACTTAAATCTAGAAGGGGGGAAGTTAATGCCATTTGGCATAGGGAGAAGAAGGTGCCCAGGAGAGGGGCTTGCATTGAAAGAGATTGGTTTGGTGCTAGGAACTTTGATTCAATGCTTTGAGTGGCAGAGAATTGGACCAGAAAAGGTGGACATGACACAAGGATCGGGCCTTGTCATGCCAAGAGCAAATCATCTTGAAGCTCTATGCAAGCCACATCAATACATGATCAATGTGCTATCGAAAATGTAAACTGCAAGTCAACTTTATCACAACAATCATTAGAATAAATATCATGTTGAATAATTTATCTTGTGAGCACAGTATGACGTGTGACTCTTGTTACATGAATATTACAAGATTTTGAATTGTGTTTTGGTGAATTTCAAATAATGTTTTGTTTTTATGATTCAAGTAGTCCATGATTTAATTGATTATTTTTAAATCAAGTATTTTTTATTATTTTCTTAGGTTATTAGACACAAGTCATCAAACTCATTCAGCGCATTTGAACTACTTCATTTATAATATATAACAATTACAAAATGAAGATCTGTTTTATTATCATAAATACCATAAAATATAAAATCATTTCTTGTCTTGATTTCTATTTTATATATATATATATATATATATATAGATGGAATATATATATATATATATATAATATTTAAATAACATTAGAGAAAACTGGATGTTTAAAAGGCACTTTAAACTATGGATTGCCCATAACAACTGGACCTCTGGATTTACATGCTTATGCAGATGCCGACTGGGCAGCAGACCACTGATAGGAAATCTATTGTTGACTTTTGTGTTTAACTAGATTCAAGTTTAATCCTCGGTCCTCCACGAAACAACCCACAGTCGTTCGTTCCTCAATAAGAACTAAGTATCGAGCTTTAGCCACGGTCACCACTGAGATTTTCAAGATTCACAGGTTTTTCAAAGGGATTTCCGAAAATCAACTCAAATCAATGATAATGTTCAGTGGCAGCACATTGCTTATCCCTTCGGCTCATAATCCAGTTTTTCACGCAAAAGCCAAACACATCGAGATGGATTACTATTTTATCTGTAATCATCTCAAGCTAAAACAAATTGATCTAAAGCATATCATGACAGAAGATCAACCTGTTGATCCATTTACTAAATGACTTCCATCCACTCGTCATCAACTCCTTACAAGCAAGCTCACTCTTCTTCCTCAAGATCGTACTCTTGAAAGGGGGTATTATGACGTACCTATGCCTCATTGGACAACGTCCTCTGCTCTTCCGCCCGAGAATGGTGGCGTAGTTGTTAGCTAGGGTTGAGCTATAATAATGTCACTCTCTGTTGTATAAATACATACCTCTGTAATAACTTTATGCAAGTGAAACGTAGCACTCGTTATCACATTTTAATAGTCAAATACATTTTTGTCATCCATAGGTAAAGTGTTGTGCGTGTAAAAGTGAAAGTTTAGGTGCGAGATAAGTAAATCCATAAGAATTGGGTGCTATGTATGTAATTTTCTCTAAAAAAACAATTTTGACAGTGACTTTTAAGAAATTAGTTTTCCTTATTTTATTGTGAGAACTTCAGCTATAACATACCTAATTCAATGATAAAGAACATTCATATTGGAAATATCAATACAAAGTTGTAATGCAATAAATTGCAAGTGATTTTAGCTTACGTACTTATTCATGAAGATCAAGGAATTAGTTCAACTTGTACAAATGCATAAATATACATGCCCTTGCATTGCTTAAGCCCGTTTCTTTTTTATTATTTGCACCTCGCAAGTGATCACAAGACATACTACAATATGTTTGATTTTTAGAATATAAATGACTCTTATTGAAAGTGTATTTTTTTTTATGATGTTCCTTAAATTCGAAATTGAAATTCAAGTTTAGTCATTTGTTATGTTAAAATTTCCATCGACTGAAAATACTATAGGAATTTAAGCTTTTTTCATCGGCTACAACCCGTCAGTTATGATAAGAAAAATTGTCGTTTTTAATGTTAATCGTGGTAAAACACTTGTCGGTAATTCCAAAACCAGACGATATTCCGACGGTTAAATGTATCGATAGTTATCCGACATTTTATTGTCGTTGCTTTTTTTAAGAAAATTGAGTAGTCAGTAATATTTGGTCCGTATATCTGACTGTTCTTTTGTTGGTAATAGTGATGATATATATATCGGAAAAGTATCGCACCCGTCGGTTTTTTGAAGCAAACAAAATCATAGGTTCTGTGTCGTTTTTGCCTCATTTTTTATAACCGATAGGTTAACTGTCGGAAAAGTGTCCTGGTCGTCGGTATTTTGACACAGGTAAAATTCTTGGTTAAGCAACATTTATGCATCCTTTTTTATAACCGACAGGTTAACTGTCATAAAAGTCACATCCATCGTTTTTGTATGACGCATCTTATCCCGTCAATTATGTGTTAGTTAAACGTCGATAAAAATGTCAATTGACTAGCCGTCAGTTTTGCTTACGGATAAGTTTGGAACCGTCACAAAACTGATGACAAGACTTTTTTTTCATTAAATCTTAAATGTATGCTAATTATTCCATTAAACTCACAAACACTGGAGAAAGGAAGGGAGTTCAACTGCTGCAGAGTTACATGAGCACACCCATAGGTGGCAATTGGATGAGTCCTGGGTGGACATCAGATCGCAGGCAACCCGAGTAATTCACAATATTAATGAGTGTAAAATTTAAATAACTATCAAAATTTATTTAGTCTCACTTTCATTAAATATATGTTTTGTAGGAGGCCTTCTAAATGCTCAAGAAGAGCAGATCTCAGTAAACGGGTTGTGGTTCAGACACATCTCACTATCCTTCTATGTATGAACTCTAGAAGGAAGTTGTTTGCGGGAATAAAAGCGGAGTATTTGTGTTTGGGGTCCCAGGTACCGGTCTATGATGTCTGTCGAGCCTCTAACACATCTGGTGTATCCACTTTCACTTCACCGAAAGAGCAGTTGCGTCGCTAAGTTGCTGTTGAGGTTGCTGCCCAAGTAGCCAACTTGGATCAGAGATGAGTGTAGAGATTTAAATGTTGTTGCATTCTGAATTGCAGAAAGTGAAGGATTCAAAGCACTATTGAGGGTGGGGATGATGATGGGGACGAGGATAAGTGGGGGTTATTTTTTTGTGCACTAAACGATTTATTGTTAGGAAACAGTATTTTTTTTTTATTATGCAATTATATATATATATATATAGATTATAATTCTTTGTAGCCTTCTAGTTAATATATTTTTTTTAAATACTACTCATCACTATATATATATATAATATATATATAATTTATTTAACTCTTTTTTTAATTATTTATATAAATGATTTATGCATTAATTAGTTTTATTATTGTGTTTTAATTGTACTTTTACGATGCCACTGTGTTGATTGTAGCGTTGAAATAGGACTTTAAATTTTTTTCTGATGGTATAGATTTTTTACGGCCTTCTGACCGTTTCACGGCCACTTGATTATATGCTGATGGTTTCACGACCATTTGGGGTAAATTCCTAACTCCCTCTATGTCCTTTTTCTGCTGGAGACTCTGGCATTCTTTACTGCCTACTGATGACATTTTAAAGATGAAAGGGCTTAGAGGACCTTCAATCTGCCCACTTTGCTGTGCTGCTGAAGAAACCTTGGATCACCTTTTTTTCTCATGTGCCCTCTCACAAAATATTTGGTCAGGTTTAATCAAGCTCCTGAATATTAATAGTCAGAATCTAAGCTGGCTTAAATTTTCTACAAGCTGGGAAGATTGGCATAACAACAACCTTTGGGTGATACCATGTATTGTGGCTTGGTTCATATGGATGTACAGAAACCACAGAAAATTTGATGGGAAGGTTTCAGGGTCAAAATCTGTGATTATTAATTGTATCTCTTATATTCAGAAATTGATCAAGTTTTATCATGTCCCCAATGTTATAAAGCACTGGACTCCAAGAAACAATACTCCTATTCTTCAGCCTTTCAAACTAATCCTTTGGAGTCCTCCCCCTACTGGTTGTTTGAAGGTCAACACTGATGACAGCTTCTGAAATGGTTGTGCTGTTATTGGGGGAATCTTCAGGAACTCTTATGGGTCTCCCATTATATATTTCACTGCTCCTGTTGTGGCAATGGATGCTCTGGACGCATAATTCATAGCTATCTACTGGACCATCAGAATTGCTTCTTATTGCCATATGGGTCCTTTTATCATAGAAACAGATTCTACTAATTGCATCAAAATCCTCCTTCATGATGAAACCCCTCCTTGGAATATAACTAGATGGAACAATTTGTTATTAGCCCTACTACCCAAAGACAAAATCAGTATCAATTATATTCCTGGAGAGGGTAATTGTCCTGCTCATTGGCTGGCCACCCAGGATAGAAATACTGAACAAATTTTTGTTGGGTTGACACTTACACCTGAATTAAAATTTCTGCTCAGTGGAGACAATTTGGCACTCCCTTATATCAAATGTATGTAACTTCTATGGGAGGTAGACCCTTGGGGGAAGGTGTTGAGTTACATAGTGTTAGACTTTACTGCTGGTCCTTGTGTGTAATTTCTTTT